CCAAATGCTGCCACTTCTCGAAGAGTTGAACCACAAGTTTGGGATCAATGTGTGCGGCGAAGGCGGCGAATACGAGACAATCACTTTGGACTGTCCCCTCTTCCGCAAGAAAATTGTTTTGTAAGACTTTGTTATGTCATGTCTTTTGGGTTGAGTTTTACTAATGAATGGATTGTATTTCAGAGACGACTTCGAGGTTATCACTCATTCGGATGACGCGATCGCAAAGGTTTCATACCTGAAGCCAATTAAACTGCATTTGGAGGACAAGAAGTGACGTTTTGCACTTTATATGAGTTTTATATAAATTGTTTAAAAGTTGACATTTTGTTAGGAATTGACGATTAGTTTAATCATGTATTTTATATTTTAATTAAATATTTATATCTTTTATATACCGATATTCACTCAAATAAATGGTTTATTGAATCACTATAAATAATACGTTGATATGCTTTTGTAGTTTGCTTTCAAATGATTTACTAAATTACAGCCATATATGAGGGTTGGATGTGTGGGTCAATGTTGGCCACAAGTGGTCAGTAATCACATAAATATGAATACGAGTTTTAATTTAATTTTAATTGTGATTCTCATGTAAGAATTGTGACTGTGTTATAGATTGGTGACATTAATTAACCATGCCTCTCTGTCCTATCTATAAGTCTAATATGTTATTGATTGATTCAAATGAAAATAGCTTTAATTGCAATCATAATAAATGTACCTGTATCACATTAGTTATGAAATTTAAATGAAAAACTTGTGAAAACTTTGAAGGAATGGCTTTTAAAGTTGAAAGGGATAGACGTGTTGTTGTGTGGAGTCATAGCAACAGTTTTGAGCACATGTTTGGTTTGTTTTGCATAACACTTGACGTGAGATCTGATAGCAATTGAGTGATAGATCAGTGAATTGTGTGAACAATGAGTGAACCGACAGTTAATTCAGATTTACTTCTTTGCGAGAATCAGTTCTACACCAAAACCAATGAAGTCAAGTCACTATTGATCACCAAAAAGGCACAGAAAGAGGCCATCACTGCGTCCAAAGATGGCCTCAAAACCCAGAGGATAGCATCGAGTGGTAAACCATTGAATCCATGGGTTGTTTCAATCATTGAATGTATGTCTGTATTGACACGAATGTAGTGCTGAGTCGAGCCAAAGAGTTTTTGGACAAAACCAAAGACACGCCAATTGAGACACAAACGTGTGATTTAGTTGATGACAA